TCTGATTGGTGTATTACACTAATTCAATCATCAACTTTGGTTTCTGTATCTATAGACAGGACAGTTTTATTCTCTACCTCGTTATCCATTTATATTTAATTTGTCCTAATTTGAAAGTGAAAACAGCAAAAATGGAAAAAGAAAGAAAATCGGCTTTTAACTTTTGCAGATGACATATTTGCCGCAAATCTTTTACACACAACAAGGGTACTTTATTATTTTCAAAAATTAAATTAGGAGAGAAAGAAGGAGATGATTTTTCGTGTACGAGAAGAGATGCAGTAGTGACAATGTCAAGACAATTATGCATTATCCTGGAAGAAAGTTTAAATACGTAATAAGATATGATTAATTTTGAATATCGTTATAATAATATTTTGATATAAATAAATATTTTTTGTAAAAGTCTATAGGTGAAAAAGAATATATATTTTTTCTATTTATTTTAAAATAAGTTATTCTCACAAGTTTATTTTTTTCATTCATACTATGTATAATTAATTTTAAATACCGCTACAGTGACTTTTTAGTATAAGTTTTGTAAAGATCTAGAGGTGACAAATATTTTTTTCTATTTATTCTCAAAATTTTAATTCTCGCACCCTTATTTCTTGAATATACACACTCTTCATTATTTATGATCTTTTGAGTTTATAAAGTAAAAAGAAGAAAAATTAAACAAAATGTGCACAAAGGAAAAAATGCGCCTAAATATCATTTCCCTTTTCCAATAATTTCTATCTCAAAGAATGGGTATTACCGACTTTTTGCTGACAAAACAAACACAAAGGGATATTTTCGTCATTGAAGAATTATAAGAGAGAGTGGAGAGTGGTTGAGAGTAGAGAGAGACAGAGAGAGGAGGAGAGAGACAGAGAGAGGGAGAGCAGACAGAGAGACATTGAAGGGCGTTTGATTTTCCGTTTATTCAGTTACTATATGTAGCGCCATGGCGTCGGACCAAGAAATTGCGGAAGGTGTGGAGACTGTGCTCCGTCAATCAGGCCCTAACGACATCGCCTCCGTAAACGGCGTCGTTCAGCAGCTCGAGGCCAAGCTAGGGTTGGACCTCTCCCACAAGGCCGGCTTCATTCGCGACCAGATCAACTTCCTCCTCCGTCCCTACGCCCAACTGCCACAACCCCAACCCCCAAAAGCCCATTTTGCCCTCCATTACAACCCCAACCCCCAAAGCCACCACCCTCACAACCAGCACCCTCAATTCCTCCCCCAACAATTCCCTCCCCAGTTTGCCCTCCACTCCCACCACCTCGCCACCGAACCCCACAGCTTCCACCCACCGCCACCGCCGCATCAGCAACTACGCGCTCAGCCTCAGTCTCAGCCGCAGCCCCAGCCTCAGCCTCTGCCTGTGAAGACCGAGGCTTTCCCCCAAAATGCTCCCACATCCGCCCCGGAAACCCCCAAAGAGAGGTTCGGATTTCATTTTTTCAAATTTTGAAATTAGAAAGTGTGGATTTTAGGGTTTTGCTTTCCTTTACATTTCAAAGGTTGCATGTTTAAGAAAATCATTGGTGCCCATGTTCCTAGATATTGCAATTATCAACATTTCGTTAAGTTCAAATTTTTCGAAATTTCTACTTTTTTTTTCCTGTTTGCTTCCACCAAAATTTGCTAATTTGCATATCTTAATTGCTATTTCTCACTAAACGTTTTCTCTTTCAGGTAAATTGAGCCTAATGTGAAAATCGATTGTAACAAATGAGGGAACAAAAATATTGAAATTGGCCTTTAAACCCTTCTTAGTACCAGTTTGGTACTGCTGAAATTTTTTGAAAAAAAGCTCCCAGATTTTTTGTGTTTAGTAAACATTCAAAATCAGTTATTTTTTTAATTCCCACCCCCCACGACAGTTTTGGGTGAAAAAATCCAAAAATCCAAAGCAGTTAGTATTGTGATTGGAAACATTTAACCTTTTTCGCTGACGAATTGTCTTTCGGATAAAGGTCAAAGACTCAAAATGCTGTTATTTGTCCCTTTGCCAAAAACGTGAAATACGAACTAGTAGGACTGTAGGGGGTCAATTAGTAAGAGTTTCACTCTAATTAACGGTGGCTAATTAAACTAATTCGGTTGGGCGTTAATATTGCTTAAGTTTGGAGGTTTAGTGGGTTAAAGTTTCATCCTGTTAATAGGCTTTGGAATTAACTATTGGGAAAAGCAGCATCATCCTTTCATTCACCTATAGCTCAAATATTATCTTGTTGTTTTGAAGTTGCAAGTAATCTATTGTGCTTCATTTTATTTCATGCTGCAACGGATGAACTGACATGCTTGAGTTCCGAAATGTTACTGCAGTGCTCCGTCTTCTGGAACCAAGAGAAGAGGGGGGCCAGGGGGTCTTAACAAAGTCTGTGGTGTCTCACCTGAGCTTGAGGCTGTTGTTGGTGAACCGGCCTTGCCGAGGACTGAGGTTATTACTCCCAAATAAACCTGTATTGTCTTTTTTGCTGACTTATTATGTTCAATGACGTGCCTCAGATTTTGCTCGGTAAATCTTAATGTAGGTTTGTGGGTGTGTATTAAGATTTGATTTTTGCTTATTTCAGATTGTGAAGCAGCTCTGGGCATACATAAGGAAAAACAACCTCCAAGATCCAAGTAATAAGAGAAAGATAATTTGTGACGATGCCTTGCGTGTGGTATTCGAGACAGACTGTACTGACATGTTCAAAATGAATAAGCTGCTATCTAAACATATTATACCCCTTGGACCTAACAGTACGTAAACACTAAGTATTGGTACAGATACTGTTTCATGATGGCTAGATGAATTTTATATCCTTCTCCTCTGTATATGCAGAAGAGCCAAGTCAAGCTAAACGATTGAAGGTAGAGGCCAAGTCTACAACTGAGAGTACTCAACCTCAACCTCAACCACAAGCGCAACCGCAACCGCAACCGCAACCAGGGTCTCCCACTGTAGGAATATCTGAAGCACTAGCTAACTTTTTGGGCTTTGGAGGAAGGGAGATGCTCCTATCTGAGGCAAGAAGACTTGTTTGGGAGTATGTAAAGGTTAACCGTTTGGAGGTAAGTATCCAAGTGCTGAATTTTGTATATCCTCTCCCTCGTAGATCTAAGATGATTATTTTATTGGGTACATTGTATTTATCTCTCCATTATTCCATTATCAATCACCAGCTGGATTGCTTTTAGCTAGTGTGTGCTGTAATTCTCCATACCTTTCTACTTGCTTAACTGCCACCTTGCTCGGCTTGAACCTTTCTTCCCCATCAAAGTGCATTTGGAAATAAGACTTACAATGGCGCTTTACTTGTATTTCCATAGGATCCTTTAAATTCTACAGTGATATATTGCGACACAAAGCTCCATGAACTTCTTGGATGCAAAAGCATTTCTGCTTTGGGGATACACGAGATGTTAGATCGCTATCATTTATTCAAACAATTATGATTTCTGGTAGTGTTGACTGGTTAGTATAAGCTCCATTTGTTTAATTCTTCTCATTTATTTCTTAATGAAATTGTGTGAATATAAACTGTCTAGCTTAGTTTACTGCGTATCAATGTCGAAGTGTTTTAGACAATCAATGAAATGGTCTGTTTATTCTTTTGCAGGTGCGTAGGACGTTTGTGACCTGTTCTCTTCTGATTCATAGGAAAGATAGGAAAGAACACTTCTTTATATCCGTTTTTTCTTCTTTTTCGTCGTCGCTTTTTGTGCATTGACGTGGTTAGGTGCTACGCGGTCTTACATGTCGTGGTTATGTGTATCTAGGATTGCTATATGCTGTGGGTTAATGGCAACAAGCTTCTTAGATTATGCCATTGCCTAGGTTACTTCTTTTTAGTCGTCTTCTCCTAACCATAACTGTGACAGATTGATAAGAAGCTCTGTACAGCGTGGAAGGACCCTTGTAGTTCCATAGATGGCAGTAAATGTTAGTTTTAACGGCAACTTTTGTATCTTCTTACCTCGCACTGAGTTCCTATTTTAACTTTGATTTATTTGCTTTCTGGCTTTCTTGATGGTAAATGAATTTTGGACAATTCAAATTGAATAATAGTTGAAAACTACTCATCACTTGTACCGAAAATGTGGTGTTTCATCACGCGCTATGAAAACAAAGTGTGAGATTTTAGTTTTAGAAAAACGTGGTAATTTTTGGCTTATAACGTCCTAAATTAATTTTATAAAACATGTGGTGCGACGAGAATAATAAATCTTGTAAAAATTCTCAAATTGATTTGAAAACGTGACTTATAACTTACACTTTTTGTGGAAAAAAAAATGAAATTTTTAGTTTTAGAAAATATCTTTCATGGCATCTAAGAAAAATGTTGCTAGATCTTTGATTTTTATTCTACAATTTATTAGATCCCGAAACTATCTTTTATTGATTTTTAAAGTTTTGAAATAGATAAAATGATATGAACTAATAGTGTGCGGCAAATATTATTTTAGATATGTGTTGCATTGTTTTCTGCAACGAATAATAAGCAGAAGAAACTATAAACATAAAGATATTATAACCCAACTTATCAGTCAATGACTCCAAGGGGTCCAATATGGAGGAGTGGTTCCATAAACATCACATTTCTGAAAAGAAGATGAATGTAATTATTAATTGACTACCTACCAAGTACCAACTGGTACAATATTGTGGTGGTATTTTTAAATCAATTAAACACGAATATGAACGAATAATTTGAGATACCGTTAAAGTAGTGTCTCAATTATAAGTAAGCTTCTCTTGTGCATTTATGCAAGGTCGTAAGCGAGTAAACCATGCATGTTAAGTCTTCGAAAAATATTTGGGCTGGTGCCGTATTCGGAAAAGATTTTGGGTTTGAGTACAATTGGGCTGGGCCTGTTACTCTCTCTTCATTGGGTCAGTCAATCAATGAATCCAACCAATGCTTAAATACCAAAATACCCTTGACTTTCCACGGAGGACACCAATTTCCCGCTCCGCCTTTGGTCTTTTCACTTTCGCATTCCTGACACGAGAGGCAGACCAGGAGAGAGAGAGAGAGAGAGCGAGAGAGCGAGAGAGCGCACCCAAAGACTCGTTTTGCTCTGATTGCTCTGACTGCCCGCGAAGGTCCGATGGCGGCAGATCTGGTGCTCGACACAGCCATCAGAGACTGGGTTCTCATCCCTCTCTCGGTGGTCATGGTCCTCATCGGCGTCCTCCGATACTTCGTCTCCAAGCTCATGCGCTCCAACCAAGTCCCCGATGCCAAAATCGTCAAAGAAGGGTATTACACTTGCTTACTATACTACATGGATCTGTATGTATGTAAGTGTATGTGTATGTATTTGGGATATATTAATATGTCTGACTTCATGAAATTGCTTTTCGTTTCGAATTCAGGCAATTAATTATTAGGGCTCGGAATTTACGTGCTGCTGCTAATTTCATACCTCCAAAGTCGTTTCGTGCTCGCCGATTGTATTACAACAACGAGGTTTGCTAATAATTCTTCTTGTTTGCTAATTAGGCATGCTTTTTTTCTTTTCTTTTTTAAGAGCACTCAAATTGACATGCTTTTTGATGAGTTAGAGTTTAGCATTGGGCTTATGTAATCTGGATTGGAAATTGGAAGTTGTCGGACAACGAGAATTCTTCGTCTCCTTTTGTTGTCGAAAACTTACAGCATAGTTTATTGTAATGAGCAGATGAATATGAGAATTTACATGGGATTTTCACATAGAAAGAAACCCATGAGTATGTCAATTAGAGCATTACACTTTAGAGGAAAGCGCTTCAAACCCAATACTTCAAAACTAAGCTAGCTGAATTTGTAATGGGAGAAGAGTAGCTTTCCGAAATCTCACAACTACGAATCAATTAGAACAGGGCATGTGGATAGATGAGTTTTTATTTCCTTTCTCCAATTGAGCTCTTGAAGTGTTTTTTGTACTAAATTTCAATGCTTCCTAATTTACTAAAATTCCATTGCCTTTTGTGTGATTTGGTGTCAAAACTTCGATTTATATTAACTTTTCAAGGTTTCATTTACAGAAGATTCGCTGAAACTAGCTTGTAGTATGCTATTTCTTGTTGTCATTCTGTTGATACTTGCGTCAAACATGTTTCACCTGGCAGGAAAATGGGCTGTTAATTGTTCCTAAGGGTCAGGCACAGAATCCACAAGCGCAAATGTTCTCTGATCCCAACATGGCCATGGATATGATGAAGAAAAATCTGTCCATGATAATACCCCAGGTATTTCGAATTGCTTGAGATTGTACTGTAATTTGACTTATTTTTGTCAGATATGGGAACTATTTTTTTATGACTACCTGTCTGTTGGCCAGACTCTTACTTTTGCATGGGTCAATTTTTTCTTCTCTGGATTTGTTGCAGGTATGTTTCAATTCCTCTGAAACCGATTTTTCTGTTATATGCTTGCATAAATTTATCATCGAACTTTTTCCTTTCCTTTATGCTCAGCCTGTATAATAGCTTGTCATTGAATATATAATAATCACTTTCAGCGACATATATCTTCATATCATAGGCTCAAGATATCATGTTATGATCAGTGTTTCCTTGTCTTCTCCGCAGCCAAAATTCCCTTTCCTCTTACTCAAAGGTTCAGGTCTATGCTGCAGAATGGGATTGACTTGAGCACTGTTGATGTTAGCTACGTCAGTAGCCGCTCATGGTACTTGTTTATATTTTGATATATCTAGTTATGTAAAGTTCATTTTCCTCCCCTTGGTTTTTTTTTCAACTGATTGTCTTTGATTATTCAAAATCATTCTCTCAGGTACTTTCTTAATCTGTTTGGATTAAGAGGTTTGTTCAGTCTCATTTTGGGAGAAGAAAATGGTCAGTTCCTCCTTATATGATTGTTTTTTCATCCTCCAAGATGGATGTTTTTTCTCTTTTCACACATGCAGCACTGCAGCTATGAGATAGAGTTTATATGGTCTAGGAGGTTGATAAACTATTAACTTTTGCTATGTAGCCATGGATGATACTCAGAAAATGATGCAAATGAGTGGCTTTGGCTTTGATCCATCAAAGGTATGAACTTAAGTAGTTTTTTGTACTCCTTAAGGTTTCAGAGTCATTAATATTTGAACATTTCTGATTCCATTATTATTTTTCTTTAATTTTGTTTGACAAATCTATTTATGCACTGTTATCCAACTAAGTTTCTTGAAAGTATCCACCTTAGACCTTGGAATCCATGCATTGCCATTGTTCTTTTAGTACATTTATTGTCAAGTCATGTGAACGTTAAGGTCAGGCCTTTTTCCTTGTGGGACAAATATGTTGGGGCTTTATATGCTCGTCCAGTCGACTTACTCACTTGACAATGGATGCCCTCTCCTTATTAAACTTTTTATAGAATGTGAAGCACCCATCACTTTGAATGGTCAAATTTGTAACAGAACGACTATCTTTTATCTGTAGCTTTAATAGACTTGTGCTTTTGTAGTTTGATATACCTGATAAGAAGCATTCATGTGAAGTTCCAACCATTGCTATTCTGGATATTCGTGTGCATCGTGTTCACATTTAAATATTTTGGATGAAAACATTTGGAAATATGATTAATTAAATGCAAATCTGAATTAAAAGTATTTGAGCATTACCATATTATTTGTTAAATATATGGCTTTAACGTTTCTGGAAAGAAATTTGACCCAAGTCAAAAGTACTCGTGGCTCTGTACCACGAATTCTAATTCAAAGGCTTTTGCTGTTTTCTTTTTGAATTGATCAGAGTTTGGGAGCTGAGAAGGACAGCCTCGATATAGTCCAGCATGACTGGGCCTTACCAAATTTGAGCATCGCGCTGAAGCAGTATTGAGAAAACTTGCCAGATGAAGGCTGAGATTATGCAGTTGGCTGCTCGACTGAAGCATCGTTTCTGCTCACGTGCTCCACTCCTGGGTTTCGTCCACCCAGCAGTAAAGTCAGTTGACCTATGAAAAAATCTAGGTAGTTTGTAGAAGCTTAAGCTTAAATTTGTTCTGATCATTAAACAAGACACTCTTTTTCGTTGAACAAACACATTGCTGCTTGTAACTTGTAATTCGTTTTCTTTTTGTCCGAAAAGTAACTCTTGAAATGATTTTTTTTCAAATTTGCCGGAAAAAGAGAGCGCAAATAAGTGGGTGAAGAACAGAAGTGTTAGAAATAGTTTAATTAACATGATTAGCTTTGAATATGGTCTGCAACTTTATAGATGCAGTAGAAGAAAGAACTAAGATTCAGTTGAAGCTGCAGCCTTCCACTTCCTTCATTAGTGCCCGAAACTTCGGAAGTTCTTGATTGTCAAACAAATCTTTGTCGTTCGAAGAAGGCCCGCTGTTTTTTGTGGTAGACCAGCTGAATCGACAAAGAGAAAATATGCAAGAAAAAGAAGGGGGCAGAGTGCCTACCGAAAGAGTGGAAAGAATTAAATGGGAGAAAAAGATGTTTGCGTTGCCCAACTGTTGCAATTCCAATGCAAGGGATAGAAGTGAACGCATATATATGGCAAAGATTGAAAAAAAAAAAATGTTTACCGAAAGCTATATATAGTGCCTGATTAAGCTTTAGATAGTTTGACAAATTAAAACTTTCTAGTTACGTTAAAACTCACCGCCCTTCCGTAGAGGACAATCTTATATGTAATTAACTAGTATCTCTACATCGCTCTGCACAAGTTTTATAGCGATGGTTCTGTTGTTTTTTTTTTCTTTATAAACTAACCAAAATGATCCGGAATGATTTGGTGGATGTTTCCCTCGAATTTTACAATTTAAGCAAAATACGCCGAATTTCAATTTTCACAATGATCAGAATATATCAATTTCACGCTTAAAATTTGCTATTTTATGTCAAAAAATTGTTTTCCAAATGATATAAATAGAGTAAAGATGAAACCCAAGTATGCGAGAAACCTCGAGTGCATGTTGCCGTTTTCACCCACAATTGATCGGTGTTAGCTTATAGAAACGAAAGATTGGTCTTTCTCTTAAAATCTTGCGTTATGATCTACTAGCTAATAAAGAAAGAAATTTGGACAGGCGTATGGGCAAAGGGGATGATCATTTCCTTACTACTTTTACACTTCCAGAGTGGCCAAACTCAAGCTTACGTGTACACACCTACACTCAACTTGGAGTCACGGAATTGGTGACTGGACGTTGACTCGTGGGTCCCACTTCTTATGGAAGCTTTGACATCTTGAATGACTCAAATCAATTCAGAACATGATGTGTAACAGTGTAACCAAACACATAAGTTGTTAAACTCGCTTAATTTGTTAAAGGATAAAACTTTAGTAGGGTTGTTTGATTAGTCGTTCCTTCAGAACGGAACAATTAGAAAAAGAAGTGAAGTTAGAAAACCGTATAATAGGCGCTAACTATCTTGTACAGTTTGGGGGTAATCGGCATACTCCGATTAGCGAGAGAGTTTGATCATTTAGTTGGTCAGACTCTCATACAAGATTTTTTTAGTTCTTTAGACTAGAAGAACTTCTAAGCATAGACATGTCTACAGTCATAGTGGATCCCAAGTTGATCTCAAATTGCTACATGAGAAAGCTATAATGTATAACAATGAATGATTAACTTGAGATACTCACAAGTGAACTTTTCTTATATATAAAAAAGCAAGTAGTAAGTTGTATATTTTTTTTTAGTAATGTTACATTTACCACATTATTCATATCATATTTGTACAACCATTCTAATAGATATAAAGTTCTCAATACAAATAGGTCTCACTTCTAATAAATATGTACTACAAATGTAATACAAAAAATATGGTATAAGTAATTATTTATTTATTTATATTTATTGGTTCGATCACTTGTAATACTAATTCTCACGGGGTCCACTTGGTGTGGGACACTCCCCACCGCCCCGACTTTTAGCTTTTCCTCAACTAATTCACTTTGCGGTACAAATTTGGAAAAGATGATGTTCCCTTTCGGAATCCGACCAAATATTGGACAATTTTACCTTACATTCGTATTAGAAATTAATAACGAGACAACAAAGTTAAAGATTGAATGTTGCTAAACTAATTCAACCAGCATCAGATTATTAGCGTTGCAATACTCATATTGAAAATTAATTACAAAATCAAAAGGTCAAAGATTAAATGCCGCTAAACCAAATCACATCAACAAATATCAATTTGACGAGCGAGATAGCACAAAAGTCGAGTGCAATGCATCGTTTGTGTTTGTTACTTAGTGTCCAAAATCAAGAGTTAATCTGGAGAGTCATGCGTGTGTACGTATTACTATTATTTTTGTTGTTATAGAGATCCACAATAACATAGTAAATTTAATTTTTGGATCAAAATTCAATAACGAATGCGTCCTTTTCTGTGCGTATACTATGCATGGCACATGCATGATGAATCCAAGAGGGCAGAATAGTACGTGTGCAGTGGAGGGTATAATCAGAGCGACCACTGTATTCCAGTAGGGCACACCAGACGAGAGGTTTTTCAGCATGAACAGTACAGAGGATGTATACACCATGTGTCATTATATAAATGATGAGATATGTATGTTAAAAATTTAATAACTTAAAAAATAAAATTTCTCATCACTTCTATTAAAATACGTGATGTAGCACTTGTGTTCCCATCACAATTAAAAATTTCTCACATCAAGCGGCTGCAAGTGGGGTCCCCAGTCACGAGCATCCGACCTGGAAAGCATCAAGACCATGGCCCGCGGGGGCCCACGCAGTCGCTCATCTTTAGAAAGGGCGGTTGCCCTGCCTTGCCTAACAGGCTAAGCCAAGAGGAATGGGCTGAAAGGAAAGGAAAAGCAAGCCACGGCAGCGCTTGATTTGTTTACATGCTGGTCCCACACGGGCATGAGACGGTAATGATCGTAAGGGCGTGATGTCGGGTCCCCACCCCCTCAGGCACCGGCCTTTTGATAGGTTGTTTTCTTTTGTTTGGCTCACGTCCATTGATGGATATGACCAAATGACTAGAATTCTCTTAATGCAAATTTGGAAAATGATCATATTCGTTTAATATATATTGTGTGATCAATTTTTATTAAGTATTATTTATATTCAATTTTAAATAAACATTTTAAAATAATTTTTAATTGCATAATGTACGATGAATAAATACAATTGATTAATCATTCGAATTCCCACAAAAAAGATCTGAAGAAGATCCTGACAACATCCATCGAGTTGTTTTCTTTTGGTTTCAATTCAATGGACGGAGTGATTAAGATGATGAGTTGAAACCTTAAAAATGGTAAAACAATTTGACTAGAAATAGTAAAAGTTGCCTCCACCTTTTTAACTATTAAACAACAATGCCATCAAGTTTGTACCCTCTCTTTTTAATTGTCTACGAATCTTTTGATTTTTAAATAAATGGAATTATAGCTAGTGACATGCTTATTTTATTTCATGTTCAATGGCCCCATGTCATACTTATTCAGAATTTTGTATTTGATAATGCAATACACAAAAAATGCGATTGAACTGAGTATGCAAAGGGACGAATTCATTAACTTGATCAAAATAATTTATGTAGTTAACAATTACGACATATTCATTTGAAAATCGAACCATAGCGATTGAAATTAATATTGTGAATTAAACCTCTCTTTAAAAACGTAGACACTATTTAAGTAACTTGTGGAGGTTTTTCATTTAGTATTTTGGGAACCAATCTAAAGATTTTTTTATATTTTCTTATAGATGTTGAAGAGCTTAAATAATGACTCATCTAACTCACATTTGTCATGTATATCTTGTATTGTATTGACTAAACGGAGTTATTAAACATTTTGCTATTTTGCATCAAAAAAAAGGAAAGATTTGTTTGTATATAAACTAGGCTAAGCTTATTTAGTGATAGGTTAGGCCTACTAACACAAAAAATTAATGGGAAAAGAAACGAAGGCACAATACAAGAACATGAGTGCATGATGGTCAGCCACATACACACCCCATTGCACAAAACACAGAAAAACCCACTCAAAAGAAAGATATGATGCTGATATGAGACATGGCCTCCACCATTTCCCATTCCAATTCATTGTCTACAAAGCTAATATTTTATTTTCATTGCAATTTTCTTCCAGTGGATTCTTCATGAATTATCTGTCATTTCACAATTTAACGTTAATTCTTGTGTCAACATTATAAAATATTGTACAAAAAACATGAACTGGCGGATAGTCCATGAATAGTCTCACTTTTAAAAAAGTCTCCTTAATATTCCTCAAAAAAGTATTAGATAAATATATAAAAATCAAACAAAAAGCATTTACAACTAGACAAGTTAATGTCCTTTTAATCTGGGCCAGTGACATGAGGTGTCAAAAAAGATTCTTCAAGTGCTCAAACTCTCTCTTTCTCCTATTCAGTTTTTTTATTAGGTTGAGGCACTCTCGCATCTATATATAGCTCTCACATTTGATCATTTCTTTCACTCACTAGCAATTAAGCACCCTTCATTCCTCCCATCTTTCCAAGGTTTTTTTGTTCAGTTTTCATTTGCTATAGCGATGGCCACTGTTGAGGTAATGCCACGACAGGCATTCTCACCCAACTACCCTCGCAAAGCGAGGAGACTTTTTGGTTTGGGATCGCTCTTTTATACATATCTATAAGTTCATGCAATTAGTTTCCTTATATTTATCATTTGCTCTAAGAAATACCTTCACTTATTTGCATACAAGTACAATCTTGAAAGCTAATTGATCCGTTTGAGAACTTAAGATTATATGATTTGCGGTATAACGTATATCAGAAGTTCTTTTTGCAGAACCTCCGTTCATTTGGACGAACTATTACGTATATTAGATCGTCTTAAAACTTTGTTGGATTATTAGTTTTGCAACTGAAATATGACTGATTTTCAACAACATTGTGTGCTAAAGGTTGCACCAGCAGCAGCGTTGGAAGAGAATGAGCCAAAGACAATCGAGGTGACCAAGACTGAAGAGGCAACCGTGGAAGAGCCTGTAGCTGCAGCACCAGCTGCTACCGAGCCTGAGGCTCCGACCACCGAAGAGCCAAAGGAAACAACACCACCAGTAGAAGCAGAAGTAGAGAAACCAGCTACTCCTGAAGCCGATGCTCCAGT